AGAAAAGGAAGGTTACTTATCCCAAACAAGAAAGAAAAGGTTGGATTCGGTAGAAACTATTATTCCACATCATGAAGCCATAATACAGAGTCAGAAGGGGAAGAAAATCACAATGGATTAAGGACTGAACCCACATCAGAGAAGATTAGTAACTGATAATTGACAAGAAAAACCAACATTCAGTACAAATGCTCTCATTCATCCTTGTCCTCCGACATGTAACATAGCTAAAAGGCTTGCATTTTATGAAATGAAAGGAAACTATTATGCAACCCAATATAACCCCCCTTGATAATTCATGACAATCAGGCCCATGCATGAGTTTATTGGATGAAACTATATTGATATGTATCTGCATGCAAACCAGTAGCACCCACCCATATTTGGCCAGAAGCAAGTACCACTCAATTGTAGGAATATATATCAAGCTCTGAGGAAGTAGCAGTGACCGCTTCCAACTTCTCATTCCATTAATCCTTAGTCCTTACTCCTTATAACAAGAGCATGCATATCCAACAACTGCAACAACGGCAACATGCTTATCACGAAACCATCAACATATGATTTATTCAAATCAATGATTCTCGGCAGTAGTCTACTATAATTACTAATTCTCAGCAGGAAAGCCAGCTATTGCTAGCAGGAAAGCGTGGTTCAACAACTGAGTCTTAGTTCCGATGAACACAAAAATCAATAAATAAAAAAGGGGAACTCACTTATACTTGACCAAATAATGAATATGAGCACGTCTCCTTCCACCAACCCCGATCCCTAACATTTACCCAAATAGTTGTCGATCAAATATTGAAATTAGAAACTGAGAAAGCTGAAAAACGAACAAGGGAAGAATCAATTCAAAGCTGGTAGAACGATCGGTACCTTGACGTGATTTCGTCTAAGGCAACCTCTGCCATATATCCAGCAGCAGCTCGTCAGCAGGTTCTCCATCGTCACGCTTCATCTTGAATCCTGTAAAACTTCAATGCAAAACTCACCGCCAGCGCCTCTTCTGGTTCGCAACCTAGCAACTCACAGCTTAGTAGCCGAGTTTGAATCATGTTGCCGCCACACTGAACTGCAGCCCGAGATGCTATTCACTTACCCTCTGCTATCGCCCGACACCGCCGTGATCTTCATCGACTCCCGTTCAAGTGCTCTGCCACCGCGTAGAGGAGATTTACCTACAGCTCGGAAAATTGACTGAAATTTCCAAAAACCTAGCTCAATGAAGAGAGAAATAGAGAGATGTCACTCGAATTAATCAAAATCCGAAAGGATTCCGTATCTTACACACGGATACGAGAAGAATACTAGGATTACTTGTCGAGCCAAGAGTAGAACATAGAGGAGAAGATGAAATCCGGCCTGTTGCGGCGAAGTAGAGATAAAAATCTGAGTGCCACTGGCGAGGGATTGACTCCATGGCTAGGATTGGAGCTGAGCTGCAAGTTCCTAGTTAGGAAGAGCTTCAGCAAATCAAAGCGAGATCGCTTCCAGTTCGACAACGGAGGAGAGATCACCGCCCCTGCTGGAGGCGGTGAGTCATCTATTTCATCCCTCGATGATTTTATCGAAGAACTCAAGTCGTCGACAGAGCGTATGGAATATGGAGAATTCGGTGGAAAGTGAGGAGTTGAAATTTATTTAGGGGAATCAATTTTACTTAATCTACAAATAAATATAAGGGAATGTCACCGTAAATAAATTGCCACATCAGCCTCTGCTGCATAACCCGCATAGTGCGGAGGGGCAAAGATGTAAATGCAAAAATCCTTCTCTATCGCTGTGTGAGTCCCAAAAAAGCGCTCCTCAAAATCCCAATAACCTACGGGCCCACGCCCCCTCTTTCTATTCCATCGGTGCTAACTGCTACCGTCTCTCCCAGAGAGTCAGAGACCCAGACCCAGTTTGTGGCTCCTTTCCCTTATGAAATCAATAACCACCCATTGCCCATTGTTATCAAATTGCTTAGGCAAGAAATTACTAAGCTTCTTAATGCCCACCATAAATTAATGGCTACTACCCGTGGACAAAATCATCAGCCGAAGTTTGTACAGCCGCCGGAAAAAGATGTAGAGCTATTCTTGCTTTCACTTTTACCTTTTCCAGTATTTGTTCATTTCTGAAATTTTGTATTTTAAGCTATTCGATTGGATGTCACTTTAATTTAGTGCACATCTATTCTATTTGCCGCCAACTTAGTTACCATTTGTCATTAATGTTGCAAAATAACTATTGCTAACAAATAATAATTGTGTTGACAATAAATAGTAATTATATTGACAGCAAATAATATATCTCTTAATTTATTGTGTTCTGTAAAAATAAATCAATGATGTGTTATCACGGGCTTTCATCTCAATCCATGTATTAATATTTGTCATTGTCTACAACATATTGAGTGATAGCACCACAATACAAGTGAATAGAAATAAATTCAAAATGACTGTAAATCGTACCAGAAGGTATATAAAAAATAGAGACTTAGTTAGGATTTCGTCTAAAGTGGGTACACTTAGAAAAAATGTACCTGATAAAATAAATTTTGTTAACCTTTTTAATCATTCACCATATAATCTTATATTCGTAAAATATTGGTAAATTAAAAGACATTAGTAGTCGAATCTATCAAGAATATCATTCTGATGTACCAACCAATTATTCATGATTTAGTTATTCATTCTCTTTCGAATGGTGTTTGGTGTCAAAAACTGTTTAGTATCAAAGACTTGAGTTGTAGAGAGAGGTTTAAAAATAAATCATATACAAAACGATTGTTTATGATTTAGTTAGTCGTTTGCTTTCGAATAGTGTGTTTTTGTCAAGAATCGTTTAGTATCAATAACTTGAGTTGTTGAGAGAGATTCAATAATATATCTTATACATTTTATTAGCACACTCCCTCATAAGAATGTCAACTTATATGAAATTGAAGTTTGCATAAATCTGAATACCGTGCGCTTAACAAGAGTCAAACACAAGACCTCTCTATGAACCTTTCTCAGTTAGATGTGCACAGATTTTAATGTCAGTTAACTATTGAACCTAATTTAACCATTTTCCTCCGAAGCCAAAGTGGGTCCAAACACCCACCCACTCTCCCTCTACCAATGCAGAAAAAGTTAGAAGTATGATATTTTTATATTAAAATCGTTGGTCAACTGTGGTTCAACCATTTCATACCTTTGAAATTGTCAACCGTTTGGGATCGATATTTCCGGATAGACGCCAATACAGTAACATTAAGTTTAATGCTCAGCCAAGCCATTGAAACAGATAAATATTGTACAACATGAATTAGGGCTGAACTCCAAATCATAATATAGCATTAGATTGAAAAAAATGACTGAAAATCTGAAATATATATGGAATCGGATCATGTAAGGACATGTGCTTTGTTTTTCTCCAACTAACCGAGTTATGATCTGGTCTTTTTTAAAAATTATAGGAATCTAATTGAATCATAAGCAGAAAAACAGTACTTTTAAAAATTATAACCAAGATCAAATTGGCACGAAAAAGAATACGTAACTATCCGGCCAATCGGCCGGGACACAATCTAGTATTGAATAACTCAGAGTAGCAAAGAGGAAGAAGAAGAGGAAGGGGAGAGGAGAAGTGAAGTGAAGTGGGGTTCTCGATTGGAGGAAGGTCGGAAGGAAGGGTGAGAGAGAGAATATAGTACTTAAATTTTCATTTAACATCCATACAATCACAACCAAATAAATTAGTTGCTGGAAACTTTTTATTGCATTTACAACCAAAATATTTAATTGAGAAAAGTCAAGATGATTTTGATACCAAAGTTATTTGGTTGAAAATTTTAAAAAAGATTTTTCTACCAAAATTATTTGGTTGGAAATATTAAAATTTATTTTGCTACCAAATTATTTGGTCTTCTCAAATTTTATTTGGTTATAAATACTTTAATTTTAATTGACAAACAATATTTTAATATTTTAGCTACCAAAATTTAATTGGTGGCTTATAGTAGCCTTTTCACAACCAATTTTAATTTGGTTGTAAAGTTTTTGGTTGCAAAAGGTAGTTTTTCTTGTAGTGTCATTTCATTAATAAAACTTCATTTAAATTATTGTGATGTTATGACAATAAAGCAAAGATTTAGTTATTGGGAAGACGTTTGACGTATTAGAAAAGAAACGCGATAAACTTAATCCGCATTTAACATTTCGTATTAAGGCCTTTAAACAAATAAATTAAAGCGGGATGGTTAAATTAACAAATAGTCGCCTGCAGCCTAACTGGTCAATCCGCTAATCAAGCCGACCCCGAGAACGCGAGTTCGAAACTCGTTGACTGTAATTTTTTTTGGATTTTTCGTTTTAGTGTAGAGATGGGGGAGGGTATTTTGGTAGTTTCACGGAAACGCGGTGGCAGAGGCGGTGATTTACGACTTACGAGAGAACCTAGGGGCAAGATCGTCGTTTTAATGAAAGGGGTATAAATTCATCTTTTTGGATAACCCTAACCTAACTCCTAACCCTAAACGACCCCGTGGCCGCTGCTCTCTCCCTCTCTCCCTCGATTATAGGTGGCAAATGGATTGGATTGGTGGATTGGATAGGTGGATCCATGGATCAAATGGATTGGATCTAATGGATTGGTGGATTCATGGATTGGATCAAGTGGATTGGTGGATTATCCATGAATCCAAATGACATCCTCAACCAAGGACCAATATGTAAAATATAAAAAGTTTAGGTACTAAAATGTCACAATGAAAAATTTTAGGTACCAAAACGTAATTTTCCAATGATATTTTTCGTATAAAAAATTAAATTTTAGGTACCAAAATGTAAAAAATAAAAATTATAGGTACTAAACCGTAATTTGCCAATGATCCATGGATCAATCCATGAATCCACCAATCCAATTGGATTTGGATCAAATGGATTGGATTTAAATGGATTGGATTAGGTGGATATTTTTAATGGATTGATGGATTGGATTGGTGGATTGGATTGAAATTGCCACCTCTACCCTCGATCTCGATCCTTCTTCACCTCTCCATCTCTCGTCTCTCTTCCAGAGAGCGAAACCCTAGCCATCATCTAACACCGCCGCTCACTCGCCTCTCTCTCTTCTCTCTCGTTCCTGCCGTCTTTCTAAACCGCAAAAATCTAAACCCTAACGACCGCAACGAAGGCCCGCCGCCACTCTCTTCTCCCTCTCGTTTTTGCTCTGCCGAAACTCTCTGGGTTTTCTCTGAGTCAAAACCCTGACTCCTAATCCTACCTCGATCCTATTCTCTCGTTACTGGTCACGAGAAACAGCTCGGCCACAACCAATCTCCTAATGGAAGCCCGAATTAGGTAAGGTTTTAACATGCATGTGGTTTTATTTGACGATTTTTGTTGGTTTGAATTTGTTTCTGACCTTTCGTTTTCTGATGTTTTTCTTATGGGTTTTGGTTTCGATCGATGGGGAAGAGATCTGATGAGGCGCCAGCCACTAACCCTGGCTCTATACCCCCAAATCGACGCAAAAGGGAAAGGATCGATCTAGGAAAAGATCTACATGCATGTGCCTTTCTAGGGTTAATTTTGTTTTACGATTCTGATTTGTTTTCTTTTCTTTCTGGGTTTTCTTTGGGTTTCGATAAGAAGAGAAACAGAGGATGGCGCCGGCCCCAGAATCCGCCGGCAACGAACGCGGCGGTGGTTTGAGGACGGCTAAGGCAGGTGAGAGTTTTTTTTATTTTTGTTTTATTACTTCTTTAATCGATTCTAACCTCTACTTTTGCTTTGAAGCAGGTTCTAAAATAAAAGTCAGATCTAGGTAGGTTCTTCTAAACTCGGATCTGTTTGGGATTGAGAGATCTAAAACTAAAAAAACGGATTATGCTTTGGTAGATCTAATTGATTTGCAGATCTGAGTATTTGAAAATAAGGTTGTGAATGAGTTTTGACTATATGGGATTGATGGATTTGATGGATGGTTTCAGATATAGTTTTGATATGCTAGAATTTGCTAAAAAAGAATGTTCTACAATGGGAAAGTAATTAACAAGCTGTAAATAGTTAGTTTTGGCGATTATAAATCACTGCCTCTGCATGTGATTTGTTAGACTAGGGAATATAAATCTTGTGATTTTGTTGGACTTTGTCGTGGGTTGGGTTTTGAAATCTAAAATTTGATAATACTATGATGATTTTGATTTGCTTTGGATTTTGACTTGCCATAGACTGGCGAGGAAACCAAATTTTATTTCTATTAGCTAAACTTTTGGGCGATTGATGTTGTGTACGTCGATTTAAGTTATGTTTGCTAAAAAAAGAAGTTGAAAGTATGACTAAAATTTAAAACGATGTTGGACACGAAGTTAAGACTAATAACGGTAAACAGAGCAAGCAGATCTTGATAGCGGTAATAATATAGTGTTTAAATAGAAAATGGACTGATGGCTTGAATGTAAAGGCACTCATAAAGTAAATAAAGTTGATGGACGATTATAATGGTATAATGATAGAGTAAAAGCGATGCCTAATGAGATGAAATTTATCACAAATCATGGAAGTAGAGTTGAAAGCACCAACCTTACTGGGATTTCTGCTCCAAGAACACTTCGTTGATCGCTCCTCCCTTGAGATTTCTTGACAAAATTTGCTGTTGTAATGAAGATATCAGAGTGTTTTAGAAATTTCTGTTTCAGTGTCTAATTTTCCTCTCCAAAATCCGTCCCCCCTCCAACAAAGAGCTGAAGGCGCTCATTTATTGCAAATGAACCTGCCACGTGTCGCTCTCTGATTCGTCAATTTTTTTAATCTGACTTTGAAGAGTGTGCCTGGTCGGTTGGATAAGATAGGGAATGGATCAGGTGAGTAACCTTATGGTGAGTAACCATGAGTAACCCGTCCACATAAGCATGACATCAGCATCCTCTCTCTCATGGAAAGCCTTTAATTTTTCCCTCTTTGATCTTTGACGGACGATTTCTCGCTCATTTTAAGTCAAAATTTAATTTTTTTTGCACAGTTAGATCAGATTAATTGTGCTCTTCAAAATGTTATCCACTTTAATATATTTTTCGAACAAAAAAAAAATTGAGCCATTTTTTACCAGCCTATACCATATGGTATTGACTGGTATTGAAATAAAAGCATACCTATGTTTTGAAAAACTTACCATGGTGGTATGAACAAACCAATACTGTAGGATTGTTGAATACATGATAGTAGAAGTATATTAATTGTAATTTATGACTCTTAACATTGTATACCACACAATACCACCCCGTACCAGGGTGGTATTGTATGGTATTGTGTGGTATTTTTTGGTACTGTAATTTGTTCACCCAGAAATTTGTAGATCCAGTAGATCATGATGAACTCATCCCTGCTGTGCAAACGTTTTCAAAAACGAATTAAAAATGAAGAAGATACCATATGGTATGCAGTTGGTACCGAGAGGCCAGAATTTTTTTTCCTAAAAAAATATTGAAAATTGATCTCATTTTGTAGAGCACGGTGAACTCGTTCCATCTGTACAAAAAAAATTAAAATCCGAGTTAAAACGAAAAAGATATGAGTCAATTAAGAAAGCTAGTGAAAATAAAAATAGCCTTTAATTCTCCATCCTTAGATCTGGATTTTCTAAATGAAGGGTCCAGATTTGGTTATTGATGGGTGCATAACCCATGGTTATGCACCCTATCTTGAGCCGATAAGATATGGTCAGACCGAATCGGTCAAGGTCGGTTTATTGTTGCCTTTTGGACCGAACTGGTTGGCTTGAGTTGGGCCTGTTGGGTTTGGGCCGAGTTTGAATTTGGGTCTGGCTCTGGGCTCTAGTTGGGCATCAGATTTGGAATTGGACTTTTACCCTTGGGCCTGAACTGGGTTCAAGATTTTAATTTGGGCTAAAACTAATCTGTTCTCCTCTCTTTTATTTTTGCAGGTACACAATTTGTTTGGGCTCAAAGTAGGAAGGCAATCACTTCAATTTGTAATTAGTTTTAATTCTCGCTTGATTTGGAGGTCATTTTCCAAGTTGTACGATGTATCAATTTTGAATATTTGATAATAAAGCTCATTCCACTATTCAATTAGTCTCATTTCAAACCTCGAATCCAAATCCAAAGTGTTCAACAAACTTCGCACTATAGCCATTTCTTCCATCGAATTGAGAACTTATATTTAAGATTTGTCATTGCTAATCTTAACTTAAACCGATCCTATTTTAGCTAGTTATGCCCTAAAATCGACTAGGAGCAAATTTGACAATTGTTGGTTCATATTGACTTGCAACTGCTAGTCTCAACCAAACTATCTAACCTTCAACTTCAAATTCTCCTTTCATTTTTTTAAGTAAGATATCATTTTGAGTTCTAAGTAGAGTGGTTGCTCCGGACAAAATGTGGTGTCTACAATATGCATTACATAACAAGTGCATAACCTGTTCACACCACTTGTTCATATCACTTGGATAATATAAGCTATTTTTGAACCCATAATAGATCATAACATAAGGTGTTTCTAGCCACCTGTTCACATCACTTAGCTACACTACACCTAACATCACTTAGCTACACTACACCTAACATAAAGTGAGCAATCCTTAAGGCTTATTCTAGTCATTACATGAGTCGAAAAAAACAGCACCTAACAACCTCAGTTGCTGGTCAGTACAAAAAATGACTCAAAAAGGTTGCTTTCATGACTCGCTAAGGCTGAGTTGGTGGTGGTTGGCTTCCATGTAAGTCCACCATAGAAGCTTGGGCTAAAGGAACTGTTGGTTGCTCTCCATGAGGGCGGCCACGGTCACCATTCATCTGTAAATGTAAGAACAAACATAGGTAAGTTATGAGGCAGCACTTGACAAACATTCTCACCCTTACAATAATATGATGCAACTCACCCTAACATATTGGTTCCCCGTGTTCTCATCGACATACACACCCACGCCAGCAGCTGCATGACGTATTTCCCTATCAATCGTAGCTCGATCTCCAACATTCAATCTCATATCCTTATCAAAACCATACCATTCATAGTCATTCACCATTCTCCATTCTCACATCAATGCGAAAATAAATGCACTGTAATTAACCATTCACACAAGATATCAACTTGAAAGCTTACCTGTATCCCTAGACCCCTATTCAATGGACATGTCCTCATATTGTGATCTGGTCCACACTTGGAGCAGTGTTTGGCACGTTTGGACCTCACATCCACATCCGCTTCTTGGACAGCAGCTTGGACAACAGCTCTCTTCCCCCTTTGAGAGGAATTGTTTACCTTCAAAACAGTAGAAAATGAGCACATTAGGTATTACATAACAATAGCAAAAATACCATACCAGTAGAGGCTCTAAATGGGATTCTTGGCTTCCCTTCTCAAGGGCTTGATATTGCACATCCCTATGAGTTCTGGAAGCAAGAGTTCAAACTTGCCACTGAGTATGGAAACTTCTCAACTGAACCAACTGGTGGATTAGATGTCCCTATCCCTGCCAGCTGGCTGCCTCCCAGACTAAGGGTGTTCCATCATTTCCTTACTCATGTGTTCTTCCCTCGCTCTTTCAACCTTGATCAAGTGCTTCCAATGGACCTCTGGATTATTTCTAGTGCTACTGCAGGACGAAAGCTGAACTTCTCCTTCCTCTTGTTTTCTCACCTCCTTCCAGTGGGAGATGAGCACTATTGACTCGCTATGACACAACTCTAACAATGGCCAAGTGTAACCAATGAAAGGGACTGCAGTATAGTGGCTCAAGTAATAAATATCAAATCCACTAGTCTCTAGAGTTACTATTACTCAGCTTCAGTTCATTATCTAGCAAACCAGATTAAGATGGAAGAACTAAAACTACTCTAACAAACTACAGTTAAAGTTAATCTAATTACAGGTTGGGAACTCACTTAGGTATGATTCCCCCTATCCACTAGCCAGATTAATGATTGATGATCTCTAACCTGTTTCACTTTGATTCACAATGCGGAGAATCCTTGACTAGACCTTGAGTCTCGACTAAAGGAATAAGGCCCTCTTGAGTCAATTGCCTAGAGGGACGTATCCTTCTCTAGAACAACCGATCAAGGCGTTCTGAACTAGATTCCCTCTATCGAATGAGGATCTCAATCGATACAAAGCATTGAATCAACCCTCGACTAAAGCAATCGATCCAATACTATCAATCTATGGTGCTCTATTGACCTAATCAGGTATTCACTCTCATAGGATCAAAGCAGAATCAATAATCTCGACTAAAGCAGAATTGAATCATGAAAACGTGCATAGATTGAATATGAACTCAAGATTAGCAAGTAGGAGTACTCATACAATCATCCAATCAAACAAACATAGCTAGGGTTCCTCAAAACCTAAATGAAGGGAAGTTACTCCATAGAGAAGAGAGAGAATGCAGTAAGAATCTTCAGATAATCAGTCTTCAAGTCCGGGCTTGTTCCTCGAGCTTCCAAGACGAAGAAATCCTCCAATTTCACTCCAAGAATGCCCTCAAATCGCCCTCTCTCTCTTTGGTTCGTCCCTTGGGTGTTTGGGATCCAAAACCTAGCTCTCTCTCTCCTTTGGCTCGAAATTGGGTTAAAACCCAGAAATTCCCGATCACACGGCCAGGCCACACGGCCGTGTGACTTTCCCAGCTGCCCGTGTGAGTGTTCAAACGCTGCGTTTCGATTAGTGGGCTTCCAGGCATGCTGCACGGCCAGGGCCACACGGCAGTGTGGATTCCCAGGCTGCCCGTGTGAGTTTTGTCGAGCCTTCACACGGCCATAACGGGTCTCCTACACGGCCAGTGTGGCTTGTCCGTGTAAAATTGTGCCACACGGCCAGGTTACACGGCCGTGTGAGGTGCAAAAGTGCCTGTGTGGCTTCCTCAGATTCTCGCCAAACGTCCAATCTTCGTCCAATCGACCCCGAACTCGTTCCCAAGCCTTCATTCACGTGCTAGGACCTGAAATATCACAAACAAGAACAACCTAGCGTGAAATCGGCCTAAAATGCGGGAATCGACATCTCAAACGGCTCAAGAATAGGGGTAAAAACATGTGCAATCAATGGTCTATCAAATTCCCCCACACTTAACTGTTTGCTTGTCCCCAAGCAACCCTAACTCAAACCAATGCAGCTCTCCAGACCTCTATAGCAACAAACAATCCCCATCATTGGTAGCGGATTTTCTAGATCATAAAGCAGCTTACGAGGGCAACTTGTCTTCTAAGACGTCCCCTATCTCTCTCAATGCGAGTTCTAGACTCAAGCCTGGATCATGAGAAGAAGTAGAAGTAAGGCAATCAGTTCATGGACAAAGGGACTCACAACATTCACAACCAAGGACTCGTTGTACCGGGGTGCTTTTTCACTTTATTTCACCGTTGGAACCCCTTTTGCTCACTTTCATTTACATTTTCTTTCTTTTCTCTTTCATTTGGCGGGGTTCCAACTGTAGTCTTTTGAACGGTCGACCCTTATTAATCGAGGAAGAGCAATTTCTGTACATCTGGCGCTCGCCAGAGTACTTCTTTTAACTCCTTTTCCTCAACTCGTGTGGAGGGTCAATGAAATTAAGGGGGGTCGAAAGCTCTATCCGTGCCCTTAAAAACACATCCTCGAGTAGGCAAACCGTTCAACGGGTGGAAGTTTTACTTGTACTAGAGACAACTTAGCTTCACCTTGTAGGAGTACCCCACTAAGGATCACTAAAATCTCCTCCAAAACCCGATTTCGTGCAATGATCGGTGCCACACACGTTGGGCTTACCCCATGTCTAAGATTATGATGATTTCGACATGGAGGACCAACTGCTTTTTATTTTCCACATGAGCACCCTGTTCGATACACGAGTCTATAACACAATCAAAACAGAGTCCACATTACCACATGAATTCAACGGTCTTAGCTCCACTAATTCACAAAATCAACCGGCACAGCAGAGAGCTAGATAGGAAAAATCTTATACTTCAACATCCTCCATAGTGCTACACTACCTCCCTAGGTTGCACATTCCTATAGAGACTGTCAATTCAAAGCATACTGAGCAGGCAATTTGCATGAAACACGTACTTGGGGCCCTCAAATTTAAAAATTTGGAGAGTGGACTAGGCTCCGAGCACACAAACAACCAAACATTCACCCGCATACATAATCGAACATCCCCCCACACTTAAGCACGACATTATCCTCAATCGAGGAAAGATAAGGAGGGTAGAACGAAGTTACCAGATCCAGGGTGAATGATGGTGGACGAGGCAGACGGTGCATTCCAGGAGGAGAGAGTAGTCGAAACACAAACACCACACAAAATCTCACAAAGGTTGAGTTATTGACTCTAAAATCAAATAACAAAACTGACTCAACCGAGGAGAAATAGAGAAAGAAATGCAAACCGACTGGTTGGGTTGCCTCCCAACAAGCGCTTCTTTCACGTCGTGACCGGACGATGGCTCCTAAGTTTTGGTCCACCCCAAAACCTCCTTGAAGTTGAGGTTCTCGTCAATGAGGTGGAGTCTCAAGTCACGAGCATGTGGTATGACAGGTGAGGGAAGCTCATGCACTTGATGCAGATGACGTCTCCACCCTCGAGACCTCTTCTTCTCTTCTCTCGTCTCATTGCCCCATACTAGATATGACAACATCGATTGGCCACCATCGCGTCCACCAAGAGGGACTGATGTCGATGTGGCCTTGGTCTGGCAAAGAGACACTGCAAATGGATCCTTGCTAAGCAGTTCCTCGAAGTTTGGTGGAGATAACACATGTAACTCATGGCCGGTGCATGCCTCTTCCACCTCAGCTCCGTCCTCAGCTTGGACGCCAATTGCTTCTTCAACCTCCCATCCTTCTTCATGTGGTATCACCCCTGGGAAATGATCAAGAACTCCTTCTGCTTCACTTTCGTCATCCTCCACAACTTCTTTCTGCACCCTTTCTTGCTCTTCTTCTTCCAGCACAGATTGGAGGGCAAGTTGCCAAGCAATTTCTTTCATGAGATCTTCTTGCATCTCCTCACTCATGTCCGCCTCTTCAAAGCTTAGTGTGGGATGTGGGAAGGTGTGGTCGGCTACGACAGGACATTCCTGATCATGATCATCACGGGAGCTCTCCGTGACAACTTCGGTGTGCTCCATAATGTCCTTGTAGCCTTCTTCTTCTTCCTCCTCCTCTTCTAGTATGGTAGCAGAAGGGTGACCTAGAGCAGGTTGTGCATAAGATCGCTCAAGATCATCGACGCTCTTCTTAATGCTCAGGAGGATCTCCTCTGTTTCACGATAGGCCTGGGTACAAAGATCCATCCTAGACCATGATCTCTCACTGTCTCTATCAAACTTCTCCATGAGAAGCCTCAATTCATATTTTGGATCTGGCTGTGGAGTGTAGCATGGCTCTGCAGAATGGCCCGTGAAGGCCGCCATGGGTAACTCCAGCTCCGATGGCCCTTCTGGTTGTGGGAGAAAGTCTTCTTGGTAATGAGGTTGTTCTTGATATGCCCAGGGGTCTGATTGTTCTCCGTAGTAAGGGTGTTGGTACTGGAACCCGAATCCATAGTCTTCTCCTCCATGATTGCTCCAAAGGGTCTCGGGGTAAGAATTCATTTTGTTGCATACATGGTTGTGATTCTATGACTCAATACCAAATTTTGGCAATAACAAAAATATTTTTTATATCGAAGTGTCAAAATAAAAATGTTTTAGTTTGTAACAGTAAGCAATATGTATTTGGATAAGTTATCCTAGCCACAAAATTTTGTTTTCCTATTCCGCTGAACGAGGTGAGTTCAAAGGTCTTAATTATAGTTAAAAAAAATAAAGTAAAATCTTCATATATGCTTAGATATTAATATTGATGTGTCTACAACACATCCAAGAATTCATATGTATGTGAAATGCCACAATGTTGGTATGAGTTATAAATTTTTAATAAAAATAAAATTTTACAAAAATAAGAATTTAATTGTTCAAATGATATGACGCTTTTAATGCATCTAAATCTATGTGGATTGTAATAAGAAAATTGAAGGGCTTTGGTGATAATTTGAAAAGTTTGAAAGATTTGACTAATAAATTTTATTTACTCTATTGTATAAGATACTAAATTTGAGTTTTTTTATAGACAAATTTTAATATAAGATCCTCAGCAGATACTTAATGAACATTCACATGAAAAAAAGTCA